TAAGGGTGTTGACTCACACCTCAAATATTTATTAATCAACAGGGATATACTGATTGACTACCTTGTAATCAGTAGAATGAATAAACAACCTGAGTTTTGAGTCTAAAGAGGGAAAGGGGTAAAACACAGCAAGATTCGAAGTTCCCTCTTCCCGTCAGCCCCGAGTGAGTATGACCACCCACCTAGGTTCTCTGCGTCCTTTCGATAGTGGCTGTGGTTCAGTGTAATGATCTGGATGTGCAACCTGAGCTTCGGAGAACAGTTCTTCTGTAGGTACCTTTCCTCTAATTTGTTGTGCACTGACTCAGAGAGCATGAGGGGGTGGAGGAGCAGTTACACTGCACTCCACCTGCCTGGACTAAGCTATGACTTTCTTTCTCAGGAGTTAGCTTTGTTTAAACAACCCTCTGGGTTGAGCCATGTAATGCTTAGCAGCCAGGAGGTGCTCATCATATCCAGTTTCTGGTGATTCTACCTCAGTTTAGACCTAGATGCTTTCGTCTTTGTGCTGATTCCCCTTAGGCAGTGTCTGGTGTCTCAATGGTGCACCCTGCTGTAAAGCATCTTCCAGATACGCCGCCTCTGGTGGCAAGTGGGAAGATCTTGCCATCATCGATGAGTCTAAACGATGCCCCCATTTCCAGGAGAAAGGACTATGATAAATCATTAAGCTGACCCTAAGGGGTCTGGTTTGACATTTGTAAGTCATAACCAAACCGACTGCCGTGGAGTCAATTACGATTCATAGCAACCCTATAGGACAGAGTAGAACTACTCCATAGGGTTTCCAAGGCTGTAAATCTTTATGGAAGCAAGCTGCCACATCTTTTTACCCCCAAGTGCCTGGTGACTTCGAACCACCAGCCTTTCCATCGATTAGCAGCTGAGCACTTTAACCACTGCACCACCAGGGCTCCTTTGTAATTCATAAGGGTGGATGGAATGCTTAGTAGTTATTATAGTAGTGACCAAAATGCTCTATGTCAAAAATTCTGAACAGTGAATTGTCTAGAATTAGAGTTCAGCATTTATACATATTTAACAAATCCTAATTCTTTCTGAATCACTCACTATTCCTGGGGACAGGCGACTGAATTTATCTGAAGACCCCGGGCTATTTTAAGATCCTGAGGGGCCCAGGCACTTTTATTTTTAAAGCACTGTCTCCACGTCATACTTAACATATTACAATGCATCCTATATCCAATGACTATTTTTTTTTGCTGTTAAAATCTTGAAAATTATTTGTAAAATTTTACTTTTGAAATTATTTACTTTATTTACTTTATGATCACTTGTGACCCTGGGCATTCTTAAGAACTCCTGCTAAGTGAGAAAAACTAACGTAAAATTTGTTTATAAATTCAATGAAATGCTTATTATTAATAAGACTAACAATGAAGTTGACATGATACATTTTGTTGGCATTTAGTTAAACACTTATTAACTTCGATTTTGCATTTTCCTTTTGTATTTTGAGCTTTTTTTTTTTTTTAAAAAAAAAAAGAGTTCTGAGAACCTAAGCTCTGAAGCTTGCAGACCCTAAGTATGATGCCTGTAGCATCTGATGGATACAACTGGGTAGCCGGCTCCCTTTATCACCTTCTAAGGTGAGTGGTGTTACCTTATACCACTCATAAGGCTCGGTATTAGGTTGGACTATGTAATATTGCTGGGTTTTTAAAAGTAAAATATGATTGAATAGAGGCAATTCCACAGAATTTAACCTAATAGTTTTTGGTTACAATACATAGGCGTTTCCCTTGGACGTGCAGAGTTAAACTGGAGAACTAACAACTGCAGAGCTCAGCGCATGTGGTAGGTGCTTGGTGAGGATTTGCCTTATGAATGCATGTGTGTATAAAAGAATGACCAAACAAGACGCAACTATGTAAGTCAGAGCTAAATTACATGGTCCAGGCTTGTGGTGATGGAACTGGTGGAACACATTAATCATACAAAAGAGTCTGGCAATTGCTTTAAAGTCTTTTTAACCCACATTCTCTTTTTAATTTGATTTTGTTACGCTAGCAAAAGATTGGCATTGCCTGTGGGAGAAAGCAGTCCTGGCATATTTCAGTGTTGACTCTGCTCCTTAGGGAATAAAAAATGGAAACACAGGAGTATAAGGAAGAAAAAAAGTATAGTGGACCTAAAAGAGAGAAGACTTTGGAGAGTGGTACGGTCTTCATGAAGCATGTTGCTTTTCACTTGGCAGCAAGCACTATCTCCAGGGACAAGGTCTTAGATTGGAAGGTCTTGGTGTTTTGTTTTGTTTTTTCCATCCGTAGAGACCCCAGGGAAACCAACAGTTCTATTTTCCTTTTCTGGCAATCCTAGAGAAAACAAAGGATTATCAAATCTTAATGATTAAGAAGACATCAACTTTGGGTCCATCCAATCATCCATTTATCCAACCGTGATGTGTCAGATACTGTGTAAGCTTTCAGGAATAGAACGAGGTTTAAAACATAAGACATATTTCCAAACTAGAGGGGCAATACATCTTGTGTAGGGAGAGTTAATATGATTAAAATTGGAAGAGAGAGGGATAAAGTGCTAAGGGAACATAGACAGAGAAGTGATTCCTAGAGAAATCAGAGGTTTCATGGAAGAGATGAGAACTGAGCGGAGTCCAGAATAGAGGTTTTCGTCCCTGACTACAGAGTAGAATAACCAGAGGATTAAAAAAATAATGCCCAGGCTCCACCACAGAGATTCTGATTTAATTGATTTCTGATGGACATCTTTTTGTTTGTTTTTCTAAAAGTAACCAGGTAAAGCTAAAGGGCAATCAGGGTTGACAACCACTGGTCTAAAAAGATGTAGAGACACACAGGTGAATGAAGGAGACAGAAGTTGGGTTAACTGACAGAGGAGAAAGTTGAAAGCATTCCGGGCTAAGAAAATACTGCATAAAAAAAAGACGACATGAAGTATGTGACACGGTTTGTGAGTCTAGAGTTTTGATGTGTAGGCTGGAAAGTCATGGAGGCAGGAGACTGTATGCCGATTTAAGAAGTTGGTGTTTAATCAAAAATGTTGAGGCAAGTGAGCAACATAGCTAGATTTACGTTTTAGACAACATGGAAAGCTGAGTAATGGCCCCCAAAGAGATCCAGCTCCTAATCCCTGGAACCTGTGAATGTAACTTTATACAGGAAAAGAGATTTTGCAGATGTGATTAAATTAAGAGTTTTGAGATGGGGAGATTATCCTGGATTATCCAGGAGGGTGGAGGAAGCCCTAAATGTAATCACAAGTGCCTTTATAAAAGGCAGGGGGAGGGATATATCACAAAGAGGAGGAGAAAGTTATGTGATGACACTGATAGCTTTGAAGATAGAGGAAGACACCATGAGAGTCAAGGAATGTGAGGAATGCAGCTCTAGAGTTAAATCCAAACTTACGTATATTGTCAGCATATTCTTGAGTTTCTAAGCATGTTTGCTAAGAAGGGTAAAGAACCCTCCTGCAATATTAAAAAAGCAATGTTTTAAGAGTTGAAAGTATGAATGAATTATAAACCGAAGGCTGTGAATGTTTGTTTCAGAAAATTACATATTTTTAAAAGAAATTTTGTTGTAGGAAACCATGTTTGCTCATTAAGAAAAGCAAGCTATGATTGCCATAGGAGGTTAATTTACCCACTACTCATGTCATGATTAACAATTGGGCTAAAATCTTACTTATCTATTAGGCGTTCTAGTTAATTCTATCAGAAGAAAGACTAAAAAGGTCCTCTTAGTATTAGAAAAATGGCTAAATTAATTCCTCTTTAAAATAATATAAAATAGCATAAAATAATATAATTCCAAATGATTAGCTTTAACACACAATCCAGAATCTCACTTTTCAACATTAGTAAAGTTGAAAATACAAAATGAAAATCCAGTAAATACCATTTATGTAAATTTTTAAAACACCCAAAACAATATTGAATATTTTTATTCATACATACATATGTAGTAAAAGTACAAAAATATGGACTGGAAGGATACACACTAATTCCATGAGAGTGACTGTATCTGAAGAGTGGGGGAAGGGAATAGCCCTTAGTAGTTTGAACTTCACCTTGGAAGAAAGGCCTGGCAATTTGCTTCCAAAAGTTCACAGCTTTGAAAACTCTATGGAGCGCAGTTCTACTCTGCACACATGGGGTCAGTATAAGTCAGAATCAACTTGATGGCAACTGGTTTGTTGGTACAAAGAATCTGTAATTGCTTTCCTTAAAAAAAGGGTTCTGAAGCTAGAAGACTTCTCTGAATCATATATGAACGACATGGTGGCTGTAACAACGGACTCAAATATACCAACAATTGCAAGGATGGCACAGGACTGGGCAGTGTTTCGTTCTACTATACATAAGGTCGCCATGAGACGGAGCCCACTCAGTGGCAACTAACACAATAAAATCTACATGTATTCAACATTTGTTAAAGGAGCCTTGTGGTGTAATGGTTAAGCGTCCCCTGCTAACCAAAAGGGCAGTGGCTGGAACCCACCAGCTGCTCTGCAGGAGAAAAGATCTGGCGATCTTCGTAAAGATTACAGCCTAGGAAACACTATGGGGCAGTTGTACTCTGTCCTGTAGGGTCACTCTTAGTCAGAATCAACTTGACAGCACACAACAACATCAGCATTTGTTAATTCTAGATGGCGCATGGCTGGATGTTTGTTGTATTTAACTTTTTATATGAACATTTTCATAATTCAAAAGTAATACAACCATCACAATTCATTCTTTGTTTTTAGTTCTATTTAAATATAAAGAAATAGAAGACGTTAAAACTGCATGCTAAATAATGCATAAAGGCTGGTTTGTCCATTCTCACTATTTACTCTTTATTCTGTTTACATGGATAATTTAGAAGTTTAATAAAATTATATCAAGAACTGGCTTTCAAATTACATCACCCAAAGTGTAGGATTTTTAGTTAATGATATCAAATACATTTTTCTTACCTTAAAGCATTTTCTTAGTTTCACAGGCAAGTCCTTCAAATGTCTTTGGGCAGGTGCACAAACATTGCCCATCCAGCAGTATCGCACTGCCTCCATTTTGGCAGGGATGGCATTTTCTTACACTGAATTCGTTGACATAGTCTTTAATGGCTCGTTCCAAATTTTGTTTCTTTTGGTATGCGTCTTTGATTTCCAATGGAATTAGATTATATATAGGAGACAGCTGCAAGAAAAAAACGTTTAATTTCAGGTGTTTTTCTATTGCTGAAGCTTATAGAATATTCTTTCCTCAATGATTTCTTCATTGACTCAGTAAAAGTTTATTGAATGCTCATTATTGCCGGATATCATATTAGTTTAAAAGACTATACTAGTGATCAAAACTAGTCATAATCTCTGCCATCATGGAGATCACATTATGGAGGTAAGGAGACTAATATTAATAAAATAATCACAGAAATAAATTTAAAATGAAAATTGTGGTAGTTGTTACCAGGGACAGGTTATGTGTATTTTTGTAAATAATGTTTTATTGTATTTTTGGTGGAAGTGTACACAGCAAAACAGTTCAACAATTTCTACACGCATTGTTCAGTGACACTGGTTACGTTCTTCACATTGTATCAACATTCTCATCATTTCACTTCTAGTTGTTCCATTGCCATCAGACTAGTCTCATAGGCCCCTAACCTTCTCATCTATGATTTACACTATTTGTTGACCATTTGAGGTTATATGTGTTTTGAACAATAGGGGGATTTAAAGTTTTGGCAGGGTAATTTATTGACATATTGTTTGTGAATTGTTCTTGCTGCATTTCCCCCTATCCGCTCTTCCAGAAGGTAGCCAGGTGATTGCTATCTCTTGCCTAGGAAAAGGTTTGTGTGCAAGGTCAAGTCCAGAATGCCCTTGAAAACAAAAAGCATGAACTCACTGAGAAACTTTTGCTGGAGGGTGGAAGGCAATGATGGACTAAACAATGCAGAGTAACCCTTTCTCTGAATACAATGCAAAAAGCTGAACAAAAATAAGCAAAAATTAAAAATCTGCTTGAAGGTTCTAGAGAACTGACAAGGTAATAAAGAATTACTGGGCTAAAGTGTGGGAGAAGGTGAAATCCAGAGAGGTGAGCCCAGTGTTTTGAACCTAGTAATTGAGACATAAGGAGCCCTGGTAGCACAATGGTTAAAGAGCTTGGCTGTTAACCTAAAGGTTGGTGGTTCCAACCCACCAGCTGCTCTGCAGGAGGAAGATGTAGCAGTTTGTTCCTGTGATAATTTATAGCCTTGGAAACCCTATGGGGCAGTTCTACTCTGTCCTATAGGGTTGCAATGAGTCAGAATTAACTTGACAGCAATGGGCTTTTTTTTTTAATGTTTACATAAATGGGGATAAGAGACACCCATATCAAAATAAGCAGGACAAAGTTAAAGAAGTACTTAAAGGAAAATTTATAGCAGTAAATGCCTACACTCAACAAGAAGAAATCTCTGAAATCAATGATCACAGCTTCCAGTTTAAGAAACTAGAGACAGAAGAAAAAAAATTTGGCTCAAAACAGAAAGAAGGAAATAATAAAGATAAAAACAGAAATCACTGAAGTTGAAAAGAGAAGAACAGTAGATAAAAATCAATAAACCAAAACCAGAACTGCTTCCTTGACAAGATCAATAAAATTGATAAACCTCTAATCAGACTGTTAAAAAAAAAAAAAGAAACAGAGAGAGAGAAGACACAAATTAACAATATTAGGAATGAAAGAATATACACAGAATCACTATACAGTTGGCCCTCCGTATCCATGGGTTGAGTATCTGCAGATTCAACCAACCTTGGATCAATAATATTAAAAAAAAAAAAAAAAAACCAGAAAGTTCCAAAAAAGTACAGACATCTTTTTCTTGTCATTATTGCCTAAACAATACAGTGTAACAACTATTTACATTGTATTAGGTATTATAAGTAAACTAGAGATGATGTCGGAAGATGAGCCCCTCAGGTTGGAAGGCGCTCAAAATGACAACTGGGGAAGAGCTGCCTCCTTAGACTCTATATTAATGACGTGGATGGAATAAAACTTTCAAAGCCTTCATTTGCTGATGTGCCATGACTCAAAATGACAAGAAACAGCAGCAAACATCCATTAATAATAGGAATATGGAATGTATGAAGTATGAATCTAGGAAAATCGGAAGTCTTCAAAAATGAAATGGAACGCATAAAGATCAATATCTGTGATGGTTAATATTGTGTGTCAACTTTACTGGGCCATGATTCTCAGTGTTTTGGCAGTTGTATAATGTTGTGATCATTTCCATGTTGAGAAATGATATGTGATCACCTCTATGATGGGATCTGCTGTGAGTAGCCAATCATTTGAAAGGGAGTTTCCTGGGGCATGTGGCCTACATCGAATATAAGTGGACATTCTGGCAAGGCTTGGGGGCTTTTTGCTTACACTGGATCCTGTAGCTGGCTCCTGTTTGTTTGACCTCCAGTTCCTGGGACATGAGCTAGCAGCTTACCTATAGTCTTGCCTGCCGATGTTAGGATTCATCGATCTTAGCAGTCTGTGACCAAAGAGCCCTGCTCTCTGACCTACCGATCTTGGTTCGCCAGCTCCTGCAGCTACGTGAATCAGGAGAAGCCTCTATCCTGACCCATGAACTTGGGAAGTTCCAGCATCTACAACCCCATGAGCCATTTCCTTGTTATAAATATCTCTCTCTGTATATATTTATACGCTTTACTGGTTTTGCTTCTCTAGAGAACCCAGCCTAAGACAATATACTAGGCATAAGTGAGTTGAAAAGGACTAATATTAGCCATTTTGAATCAGACAATTATATGGTCTACTATGCCGGGAATGGCAAATTGAAGAGGAATGACATTGTGTTCATGGTCAAAAAGAACATTTCAAGATCTATCCTGAAGTACAACCCTGTCAGCAATAGGATAATATCCATAAGCCTACAAGGAAGACCAGTTGATATGACTATTATTCAAATTTACGCACCAGCCACTAATGCCAAAGATGAGGAAATTGAAGATTTTATCAAGTTCTGCAGTCTGAAACTGATCAAACATACAATCGAGATGCATTGATAATTACTGGTGATTGGAATGTCAAAAATGGAAATGAAGAAGAAGGATCAGTAGTTGGAAAATATGGCCTTGGTGATAGAAACGATGCTTGAGATCACACAATAGAATTTGCAAGACAACGGCTTCTTCATTGTAAATACCTTTTTTCAGCAACATCAAAGTTGACTATATACACGTGGACCTCACCGGGTAGAAAACACATGAATCAAATTGACTACATCTGTGAGAAGAGATGATGGAAAAGCTCAATATCATCTGTTAGAACAAGGCCAGGGGCCGAATGCGGAACAAACTATCAATTGTTCATATGCAAGTTCAAGTTGAAGCTGAAGAAAATTAAAATATCTCCCCGAGAGCCAAAATATGACCTTGAGTATGTTGTTGTTAGGTGCCGTCAAATTGAAACATTGCCTGGTCCTGTGCCATCCTCACAATCGTTATGTTTGAGCCCATTGTTGCAGCCACTGTGTCAATCCATCTCATCAAGGTCTTCCTCTTTTTCACTGACCCTCTACTTTACCAAGCATGATGTCCTTCTCCAGGGACTGGTCCCTCCTGATAACATGTTCAAAGTATATGAGACGAAGTCTCACCATCCTCGCTTCCAAGGAGCATGCTGGCTATATTTCTTCCAAGACAGGCTTGTTCATTCTTCTGGCAGTCCATGGTATATTCAGTATTCCTCACCAACACCATAATTCAAAGGCATCAATTCTTCTTTGGTTTTCCTTATTCATTGTCCAGCTTTTTCATTCATATGAGGCAACTGAAAATATCACGGCTTGAGTCAGGTGCATCTTAGTCCTTAAAGTGACATCTTTGCTTTTTAACACTTTAAAGACGTCTTTTGCAGCAGATTTGCCCAATGCAATAAGTCCTTTGATTTCCTGACTGCTGCTTCCATGGGCATTGATTGTGGATCCAGGTAAAATGAATCCTTGACAACTTCAATCTTCTCTCCATTTATCATGATGTTGCTTATTGGTCCAATCGTGAAGCTTTTTGTTTTCTTTATATTTAGGTGTAATCCATACTGAAGGCTGTAGTCTTTGACCTTCATCAAGGAGTGCTCAAGTCCTCTTCACTTTCAGTCAATTCTGACTCACAGCGACCCTATAGGACAGAATAGAACTGCCCCCATAGAGTTTCTAAGGAGTGGCTCTTGGATTTAAACTGCTGACCTTTTGGCTAGCAGCCAATCTCTTAACCACTGTGCCACCAGGACTCCATTTTGCCCATAGAATCTTTCAAAATTGCAATTTTTTCTTCAGTTCCTTCAGCTCAAGAAATGCTGAGCGTGTTCTTCACTTTTGGTTTTCTAACTCCAAGTCTTTGCATATTTCATTATAATACTTTATTTTGTCTTCTCAAGCTGCCCTTTGAAATCTTCTCTTCAGCTCCTTTACTTCATCATTTCTTCCTTTCACTTTAGCTACTCTACGTTCAAGGGCAAGTTTCAGAGTCTCTTGTGACATCCATTTTGGTCTTTTCTTTCTTTCCTGTTGTTTTAATGACCTCTTGCTGTCTTCACGTATGATGTCCTTGATGTCTTCCCACAACTTCTTTGGTGTTTGGTTATTAGTGTTCAATGAGTCAAATCTACTCTTGAGAAGGTCTCCAAATTCAGGTGGGATACACTCAAGGTAGTGTTTTGGCTGTTGTTGACTTGCGCTAATTTTCTTCAGATTCAATTTGAACTTGCATATGAATTGATGCTCTGTTCCACAGTTGGCCCCTGGCCTTGTTCTGACAGATGTCATTGAGCTTTTCCATCGTCTCTTCTCACAGATGTAGTCAATTTGCTTCATGTGTTTGCAACCTGGTGAGATCCATGTGTATATAGTCAACATTTATGTTGTTGAAAAAAGGTATTTGCAAGGAAGAAGTTGTTGGTCTTGCAAAATTCAATTGTGTGGGAGACTCGTCAAGATGGCGGTCTAGGCAGAAGCACCACGCCGTCCCTTCACAACAAAGATCCAAAGAACTAAGCCAAACAGAGAATCAACAATCCTGAAACCCTAGAACATCAAATGAAGAGATAAAGAACTCAGCCGAACACCAAATGGAGTAAGAATACTGAAAGAGAACAGAGAGCGAGGAGAGATTCATGCAGAGGTC